TGAATGAAGTAAATGAAACTTGGCAGGAAAAAGTAAACAAAACCGTAGAAATCCAGAGAGAACGTGAAAAGACATTGGAAGATCTTGGTATTATGGTTGAAAAAAATGCAGTTGGTGTACATCCTCCTAAAAAGGTGCCACATCTTGTCAACCTTAATGAAGATCCGCTTATGTCGGAATGCCTAGTATATCAAATAAAACCTGGAAAAACTCGAGTTGGTCGTCTTGAGTCTGATAATCAATCTGAAATACGTTTAAGTGGTGAAAATATTTTAGATGAACATTGCTATTTCGAAAATATAGATGGTGCTGTTACATTGCATCCTTACGCAAATAGTACAACAATGGTCAACGGTATGCGTATAAGTAAATCAAAAAGATTAAGATCTGGATTCCGTATTATTCTTGGGGATTTCCATGTGTTTCGTTTTAATCATCCTGAAGAAGTTAGACGTGAACGAGCGAAATCGAAGCAACTTAGCATTAGCATTGTTCAACAACCAACTTCGAATGGAAATGGAGAGGATAGTGGCAAAGCTCCAGATTCTCCGACATCTACAGCTTCTCTTATGTCAGAAGCAGTAATAGATTGGAATTTTGCAAAGAGAGAAGTAGCACTTCATTATTTGAATTCTGGCGCAGATTCAACATTTGGAACTTTACCAGATGAAGATTTACAACGGTTGATGGATGACTTAAAAAAAATTCAAAGTGCCCGAAGAACTCGACCTGATAGCAGAAGTGGTGATTTTGAAGATGATACGATTTCGCATACATCTGATAAACCTGGATCTAATGAAACTTATGAAACCATCGAATCTCCTTATACGGAAATGCCACCAGAATTAGATGATAAACTTAAAGTGATTAAAGAAGAGATGCAACAGCAGCTTGATTTGCAAAAACAGGAATATGAGGATAAAATGCAATTAATAGAAGCATCAAATCTTGAGGCAGATGAATTAAAAGCCGAGAAAAAGCAAATGGAAGAGAAACTTAAGATGGTTCAAGAAGAAATGCAAAGAATGCTTGAGGTTCAGGCTCAGGAATATCAACGTAAAATAAGGCAATCTAACGCTCCTTGTGAAGAATATAACTTACCACCCGATGTTCCTCCTTATACTGAAGAAGAATTACGCCTCATTCATATGGCTCTCAAGAAATGGAAACGTCAAAGATTTGTCCAAATGGCAGAAACAATTCTTAGTAATGCAGTGATATTGAAAGAAGCCAATGTCATTAGTAAAGAACTTGGAAAAAAAATTCTTTATCAATTTACTATTATAGAAGATGAACCTTATATTAATCCAGTTTCTTTCCGGGAAACTACATCTGCGCTTAATCAATACTGTAACAATGACGACATTTCATTACATTCTTCTAAAAAGCCTTGTGTTGGAGTTAAGGTTATCGATACCAAAAACGACGTTATTTATGTATGGTCGCTCGATAAACTCAAAGCTCGTTTACAAAAGATGCGTAATTTATATAATTTCATTGATCGTCCTCAATATAGTAAACATTTCAATTGGGAAGATCCGTTTTATGAAAATCCTTGCCCAAATTTTACTTTCGTTGGAAGTGCCAGCGTCGGATTGACATGTTTGCTTATGAAAACTGAACACGTGCATAATGCACCTGTAATTCGTAGATATTCAGGTGACATTTTAGGGCATTGTAAAGTTCTTATTAAATTTCTAACCGATTTCGAGGATACAACTTCAAAAGATTCACATTCTTTAGATAAATCAAAAGAGATCTCTTCAAAATTATTAGTCGGCTGCCAAGTAGTATTTGAAGTGAAAATTTTAGAGCTCACCGGTATAAAAGAATCACAATTTACCCAAGTTCATGTACAATTTAAGTTATCCTCTTTTGGTAATGTACATCCCTTATCACCGGGCGAACATATATACGCAACAGATACTGTAAGCGATTTTGGAAACAAAACAATCACTTATAATTATGAACAACCTTTAAAGATGATTGTTACTCCTGCAATGATGGACATTCTTATCAATGGCATGTTGACTTTCGAAGTATTTGGTCGTGCAAAACGTTGTGTATTGGAAGATATGGAAAAATGGGATGATCATAATGAACGACCACTTTATCGTGGTATTAATGGAAATGGTTCATCCGAAACTTCAGCCCCCAGAGAGCGCCGTTCCGAGGATGAATTAGTTTCCGAGGAAAAACATGATGTAGTAGCTTGGGTTCAGGTTTGCGAGCTTGCTCAAACGGGAGAGTATGTGCCCGTGCAAGTGCTTTCTCAAAATCCTCTAGATCCCGGTGCCTTCTTTTTAAGACAAGGATTGCAGCGACGTATTGTACTTACATTAACGCATAATTCTGGTCGACAATTTCCTTGGAATCGAATTACAAAGATGGAAATAGGAAGAGTTCGATTATTAGACGGAAAAGGAAGATTAGCTGAATCACCAGTACAAAATGATATACAAATGAACTTGTTACCAGCTCAAAATGTTCAATTCAACAGGGATGGCACTAGTGTGATAATTGCTCAGGCTTCATGGGACAGTACACTTCATGATTCTATATTTCTTAATAGAACTACACAATCAAGTAGTCGTGTTCTATTAGGTCTGACTTGGTATGTTGAAGCTGAAAAATGTGTTGAACCAATTTCTTTCCATATGGATATTGCAGTGCAAATCCAAGGTCGTGAAGCTCGTCCACCATCAAAATTGATTCAATTGATAAATCAGTCAAAAGTTTTGTGGAAGTCTAGTGGGTTGTTTTCGGTAATTCTAAAACCACCCATGACTCGTAAAATTTCTGAACTATGGAGATTAAATACAGCTAATAAATATGTTCGTGGTGAAGAATTTTTGGGTAATTGGAAACCCCGTGGAGTATCTCTTGTTAAGGACTATAAAAATATCAGTGAACTTATTCGTAGGCAAGAGGCTGTTGAGCGCACAAAACAAATACTTGCAATACACGAAGCTCGCAAAGTATCTTCTGAAGAAAAACTCGAGAGTTGTTCTAATCCTAATAATGATTTAGCTAAAAAGGCCATTACTCTTTGGAAGAAAAAATTGGGCATAACTAAAGAGGTTTTTTATTGATTTTATATATCTCGGTTTGTATAAAGATGTTTCAAAGAGAAATTTTAATGGAATTTTCAATATAACAGATCGTTATAAATCAAGAGCCTCCTCTATCGGGACCTCATCAAGATGCCAATTCTTGGAAAAACACAAAACCGTCTAAATTGGTTGCGCAAGTTCGAATGGTTGGAAAAACGTATGTAAATTTTTTCTCCCAAGACTTATGTTAAATTCAAAAGATTAATGAAACAAATTTACCTACGTAGTGATACAATAACCAAAAAAGGTTATTTGTTTACACCGGAAAATGCGAACGATTATTGGGTCAAGCGTTGGTATGTCTTGAGGAGGTACGTTATTTCATTTATTTAATTTATTTTCATATCATCGTGTTGTCAATATAGGTTTTATTCTTCTGTTTCATTTGATATGTTTATAAATTTTTATATAGACCATACCTCTTTATCTATGAATCTCAAAAAGAAACGGAAGAGCAAGGTGTTATCAACCTTGCATCGGTCAGGGTTGATTATAAAAAAGATCTAGAAGACATGTTGCAGGTTTTGTTTCATTTTTTTTTTTGGGATTTACTCATAATATTTTACATAATATATAATAATACTTTTTATTTCTATTCACTAGAGACAAAATGTGTTTGCAATATATACGAATAATAATGCGTACATTCTTCAAGCTTCTTCAAAACAGGAGATGGTTGACTGGATTTCAAAGGTATCAATCGCAACATAATAGCAACATCTGTTGCAAGTCATATTAACATTTCGGCTATTGAAGATTTAGGATCATTCTCACTTAGACCTCGTTTTCAATTTACGTCAGATTGATCAATTTTATCAAATCGAAGCGATGGACCTAAAAAGTAAAATCTCTTCGATGGACAGCTTTTTGAAAGAGTAAATAATAATTACAATCTTTAATTATATTATGTATTAAACTTTTTTATTTCACATTTGATTTATTTTATTTTATTTTTTATTTTATTTTTTTTTTTCTGTTTTATAATGTAGAATAAATTTGTAAGCGTAGCCATCGATATTTTATTAGACTTTGGTGGACCGAGTACATTATTTATTTTTTTTTTTTTTGTATCAGGATATTATATGTATGTATACACAAAAAATATCAAAAAAAAGAAAAAAAATGAATAATTTTTATGATTTTTATAATATTAAATTGGTATATTTGAATTTAGACTAATGTACATGATAATAGTTATTAAAATACTCTTAGATTTATATAATTTAAAAACTGAAAAATTGGCTTTTTTTTTTTTTTTTTTTACCAATAATAATAATAATTTTGGGCAAAAAAATATTACTCAATGTGGCAATTGCTGTAGTACTCGTCTGTGTCCACATGTTTGGCATTAAGAACTCATGGTTTTTTTACAGAAACAGAATTGATAGATACTAGAATTTACAGGTTGAATAAATGAAAATCAACTCTACATTTGATTTGATGAATCCTCGCGGGGCAGTGTTGGGGCATACTGAGTTTCAATCAACAACAAAAGGCCTTTGAATGTCCCTTTCACCTCATCACTGAGAATTTACTTTTATTTATTTATTTATTTATTTATTTTTTTCTTCTTCTCTAATATAAAGTTCATCAAAAACGTAAGGGAGGGAAAATAAAATTTTATTTAATAGACAGCAATTGGCTTTCATTTATATACCTTATTTAACTTTCTATCGTCAGCAGGAATATGTAGGTTCAACCTAAAATGCTTTTAAGAATTAAAAAGAAATAAAAAAGTTTAATTTACTGAAAAGACCTGCAAAATACTATTTGTTAACATCTTTTCTTTTTTTGATAAAACTTTTACTCAGCGAAAAAGTAAAGAATAATACTTGAGCGATTTCATTTCGCGGCATAAAAAAAAATTTCGCTTATATAATAAGCGGAATGTCGCCAACTCAAGCAATTCAGTTGCCAAGTCCGCATCAGATTTTGAACCGAAATTACGAACAACCTAATAATTCTACTTATCATAATAACGGCTCTGGTAGTTCTAATAACTCTCCTTCGAATAATCACTCGGCAATACAAAGTAAGTTATAGCTTCAAATAAAGTGTATAAGATATTAATTATACAGTAATATAAATAATATTTATTAACACTCAAGATATTCTTGTGTTGGTTTTCTTAAAACATCGGGTTTTTAAATTTTGTATTGGGACATTCCGTTAGGTATAAATACATGATTTAATGAATTAGTTAAATTAACTATATAGTATTTGACATAGAAACTTAAATATTTGATTAAATAATTACAATTATAACAAAAGATATATCAACTTTAATTAATTTTTAAATTTATTAATTACAGATACACAATATACATCACCAAAACCTGCCTTGAATCGTCCACACTCTCCATCACCATTATCTATGGAAGCTCCTATGTCGGAGTCTAAATATTCGTTTCCTAATCCAACACCACCTCATGACACAAATAATAACATGTCATACAAATCGTCACCAACCGATCAAAGTAACGTTTCGACTTCTTTAACACCTTCTCCTTCTATTCCTTCACCTACCACAGAACCTTTTACATCTCGTTCTCTTGCACCTCTTGAACCTCATCATTCTGCTATACCGTCTTATTTGACCACTCCAAGACGTGGTTCAATTACGGATCCTTCACTTCATTTATCTGTTCCAAATCCAGAATTGGCACGACAATACTCGCAACCTGACATTAATTTTCCATCCACGAGCACAGTTTCTTCTGAACGTCGTGGATCATTTGTGGATCAATATCCCCCTTCCCCTTCATCATCTCTTTCACGTCCATCATCGGTTATAAGTGAACAATCTTTTTCACCAATGGAAACTCGTAAACTTAGGGATGCTTTACCATCTATTAGTACTAGTGCAAGCCCTATCAAGGATGGTTTTCCTGGTCCATTAATGAATCCGGCATTTCAAGCTCAATTACAACCACGACGACATTCTATCGCGGTAGGGGAAGTCGTCGCTCCGTTAAAACGAAAAAATGTTATTAATGTTCCAGTACCAAGCCATCCAGTTAATACAGATGATTATCCCGTAAAACGACGAGAATCTGTTGGAGATCCAAATATACAACGTTTATCACTTTATGATCGTAGAAATTCTTATTCTGCTCCATCTAGTCCACCAGCACCACCATCTTCATCTTTTATTTCTACAACTAATCTGTTGCCGAAGCTTAACGTTCATGATGTAAACACAAGTTTACAATCTCATGCTGAATCGTGTTCAATCCATCATCAATATAATGATAATATTTCTGATCATCCAGTGTCAGGCAATATATCACAAGTACATCTTTCTGAACAGAATGAATCTTCTATCTACCCTCCTTTCAGTAACCCTCGTTTATCTCAAATTGTGCAGGAAGAAGTTAGCGCTCCTATATTGGCACGTCGTGCTTCAATGCCAGTAATGGCTTTTCCTTCTCGATTTTCTGAACCTGTACAGCAAGATGGTACAATGCCGATGGACGTTGACCGTTATCGCACACAAGTCTATTCATCTCATCATCATTCATATCATCCATATGCTTATGATTATCAGGGTTACATTCAACAAACAACTCCAGTGAAGGAAACTCCTTATTCTCGTTCTCCTGAATTGAGGATATCACATAAATTGGCTGAACGTAAAAGGAGAAAAGAAATGAAAGAACTTTTTGATGAACTTAGAGATTCATTACCTGTAGATAAAAGTTTGAAGACAAGCAAGTGGGAGATTTTGAGCAAAGGTACACAAATTTCCTCTCTCCTCGACTATTTTTAAATTACAGCTAATATACCTCCTTTTTCTTAGCCGTCGAGTTCATAAACAATCTAAAGCATAGTCAAGATGAAATGACCAAAGAAGTTGAATCATTGAGACAACAGCTTGCTGCGTTAAAAGGATGTGGCAACGGGTAAGGTCCATATCAAAAATTATCAATTTTTGAAAACAATTTAGTTTATTTGATATTTTTAATTCATTATAATGTTACTTATTGATCTTAGTGAATCAAGCACGCAAACTACAACATCTTAATATGTTTTTACCATAATTACGGTGGGATTCTTTACACGTTTTCTTTGGAAATCTAAAACAAATTGGGTTATTATTTTTATTTATTACATTCCATAGAAAAAATTTGAAATTGTTTATTTGGTTCGTAATATTTTTGTATCATAAATTTTTTCATTTTATTTTTATTTTGATTTTTTTTTATAAAAAAAAAAAATATAAATATATATATATATATATATATATATATAGTACTTTTTGATTTTTTTGTACATTCTATTCCTTCTTTATTATATTACTTATTCCAGTTCTAAATATTCCCTTCAGAATGTAATTACTTTCGTTTATTATATATATTTTTTTTCGTTATCATAATTTAGATTAAAAAATTTCATTCGTTTATTGATTTTCTTCATTTGAAATGAACATTTAACATACAGTATCTCGAATGATTCTTTCACCTCTTTAAGTCGCTTATTTATTATTGTACTAACTTTACTAAATAAAAAAAAAATGAAATAAAAAATAAATTATAATAAAGTAATATTATTTGTATAATGTTTGGAAACTTTTTTTTAAAAAACACTTTCTTAAAGAAGACGCTTTTGGAGGCGTTTAGACACTTCGAAGGCGTTTTCATATGAGTTTTAATACTATCAGAGCATTTCTACCAATTCTTTTGCATCAACCTTACATTAAATAAGTTGATAAAGGAAAGGTTAAACTTGTTAGTATTGATTAACAAAAATGTATTATCTAATCACAATTTATATATATTAAACTTTTATAAATAAAATTCTTATCCTTATATAAACTCTCACTAACAAAAAATCTAATATAAATTATCATGATTATATAAGCAGAAAATGAATCAATACTTTAAAAAATAATATAATAATAAATAATGAAATTTTTGATGTTTTTGATTTCTAGTAACCTTTGTATGTAGGAATTGTTTCTTCGTTATATATTATATTGAAAATTATTTTTTGATTTAATCAGCACGACAAATGATTTTTACTGGTTTCTTTCATATCAAGTTGTGGTATTGAAACACGATTATAAATTTGAATTATATTTTAATATAGAAAAGCGAATTAAATCTGATGAAGATAAGCTATAAATGTTTGTTTTCATTCTTCCGGTTTTGAAGAATTTTATTTTTATTTAATTGCTGGCGAATAATTTATTGTATTAGAGGTTTAATCGGATTCATTGATTTCGAAAATAAAATATATACATACATGTTTTTAGTTTTTTTATTATAAGCCGATAGAAATATAGAATGTAATAATATTTTAAAAATCTTTACATTTTAGAACTACAATGAACAAATCTGAATAAAATTGACAACTAAACAGAATTCTTTTTGTAAAGGGAAATATAATTCACGTAATGCGTAAATTAAAATTATATTTATTTAGTGAAAATCAAAAATTTTACAT